ATAGACAAATAGACGAATTCCCTATTTCAGCTTTATCATCCCCTTCGAAATTTTTTTTTTTTTTTTTTTGCGCATGCCTTCGTGCATGGAACCACTGAGATGGGTCGCCACCAATTAATGGGGAAACCACCTGATTACATAATCGAATACTTTGATTTTGATATAAATTGACCTAACATTTTGAGTGGTGGCGTCTCCAAATCATTTAATCGTTGCGAGCAAACGATTAAAAAACGTTAACAAGAAAAAAAAGGATAATAATTTACACCCTTTTATCGATGCAAACACTCGATCAATACAGACTTCGTATACCAATAAAGAAACAACATAGACAAAAAATATTCCTATAATTATCACAGGGAGACGGTCATATATAAATAATATATATTTTTTTTTTTCTTTCTTCTTTCATCGATTCTTTTTCATAGAGAAAATTTGCACGGATAAAAATGTTTCGATACTTTCAAAACAAAATCTGGTCGCCTCAAACCTCACCTCAACTTCAGCCTCAAAACACACCAATAAATTTCGATCAAGATGAAAGCGACATACCGTACCTCGCCGAGGTGGACCAAGGTGGATCGGTGTATCGTGCAATGCCCTTAGAATCATATTGTCAGGAGGAGGAACAACCTCCAAAGGACGTACAGTTTTTTCTGGACGGCGAAAATAAAGATAAGGTTGTATTGGTGCCTGGACTTTTTGGATATGATACCTTGGAGATAACGTTGCCCTTCCGTAGTGGTACAACTTGGACCATAGCGGATTATTGGAGTGATGTCAGAGAGGTTATCGATGATCCCTTTATCGTTAGTCCTAGCTCATTCGGTGTAGGTACCTTTTCTCTTTTGAATGATCATATACAGACATGAGAGATTATAATTAACGCTAGCATTTTTGACGTTAGTCTGTCCACGATCGTGCAGTGGAAATTTATTACCAAATCAAGGGCGGTCGAGTGGTATGTGGTTTGAAATTATTGGGCGTTGCCATATTTGATTGGTTCTAAATTCTTTTTTTTTCTGCAGGACTACGGATTACGCCATTCTCATCAATTCGGTCATAAGCAACATGGCGCGACATACGAGGGTTTAATTCCCGATTGGAGTCCGGAGAATCCAATAGTCCTAATTGGTAAGAGTCAATCGGTTGTCTTTCGTTCGTTCATTAGATTCGAAAAAAAATTCTTTTCATCTAAACGAGATTATTCCATGTTTCCCACTATTTACTACTTCCCACTATTTACTACTACCCACATAGGCAAGGGATACGGTGCGACCACAGCTCTTCATTTGCAAAATCTCCTCATGACTAACTTCTTCGGTCAACACACCTCCGGCAAGATGATCAAAGGAGTCATTTGTTTGTCGACTCCGCATCGCGGTTCCACACTCCCGTACTACCTCGGCCTCGAGTCTGATCCAGAACGCAACATTAATCCGTATTCC